AATAGAAAAATCGCGAACTTTAAGTGTACACTTCTATCCTATCCTATCCTATCCTATCCTTCTATCTTTTTCTAACAATCGCGAAATTAAATACTCGAGAAATATGGCTCATGATCTTTCACGAAGTTTAATACTCGCAAAATTAAGCAAAAAGAAGGTAGTTCATCAGGCTGTTTTCGCCTACAACGCTTTATAGAAACTTGACGTTATAGCCAGGACTTTCCTGAAAATGACAAGTTCACAGCTTCGTATCAAACAATGAGATATCTCCCCAAAGCATTATGTATATCAAACGCTGCAAACAACAAAAACGAACTTTGAAAAACCCTTTTTTAAAACAAACAATTATAATCCGTTTAAATTTTCTTTATGTTTGTCCATTCATCCTTTACAATTTGCTGTGTTTTCATACCTTATCTTAGTGTTTTGAGGCTTTATTTTATGTTTTACTCACTTTGGTGGCAGCTCTCTTTTGAATTATAATACATTTCGTGCCACAGCTCCTGTAAGCCAATGTTCAGCCTATAGTTTTCTGGGTAAGTACCCTGGCAAAAAGCTAACCCTATAAAGAAGCTTATAAATACAAAGGGGGCTTTTTCTTCCCTCATTCCCGCCTGGCTAAAGGTTTATGCACATTGTTGAGGCCAATAATAATAAATAATAAATGTAGTTTATTTTACTTTCTTGCAGTTAAAAAAATACTGAATGAACAAGTGACATGTATACAATCCAAAAAATACAACGTAACTACGCTAGGAGTATACAGTTGTACTAGTAATCATGATGTAAAAAATTCGTCGGCTCTCTTAGTTCTTCTTAATTTGTTTACTGTTCTTTCACTACCAGATCTTAAATTATAACAGACAGATCGTCTTTCAGATTTGGGAATGAGGAATGATTATTGTGATTGCAAGCCACATCACAGACAAATCGCCGACACAGAGAAACCGTTCTTTTTGCTAGAGATGAGACTTTTGCCTCTAAAAGGGCTTGATTATAAGCTGTGGATTCAGGATATATAATTTTGAGCGCTTTCTTTTGATAATACAGTGATGATACAGTCTACATGTAAGTTCTATTTAAGATCTTCCTTAGTAGTTACTCTGAGTAGTTTGTATGTCTTCACAGTCTCAACTACTTGGTTCCCAATACAAATAGGTCTCATCAGTACAGTGTTAGGATTAGCCATCACCTTTCCTTAGCATCGTTGCACATTAATTTCTGTCACGCGTACGTAGAGCCTTTCTGCCATGATACGCGCATCAAATGTGGCATTTCCACTCGTAACTGACCCAGCTTAGCCTGAGAAAACAACCAACATTTCGCGACGCCACCACTGGTTTCCCCGCGAAGGTGACGTCTGAGAAACGAGAGCAGAAATTCCATACTGATGACGTGTCACTACCCAGATCTGGATAGTGACGAAAATCAAAATCCATCCCCGGTGGGACCCGAAGTAGCTCTCTTTACGGTGGTGTAGACGTGCAAGTTATGGAGTCAAATACCTTGTACAAAACTCAGGGATCGTACAGACATCAATTTTCAGAAATTTTCCAGACCTGAAAAAAGTCTGAAAAAATATTTAACAAAAATCTAGAGTTTTTTTTCTTTTTTTTCAAAGCTACAACAAATAGTGCTTTATGAGTGAAATGTTTTTCGTTTTGGTCAAATCTTATTTAATTTCGCCCGTATGTTTGCAGCCTATCATGAAAAAATCTTTGTTCCTGCTTTTTTTAAAGGTCTGTATTGATCAATGACCTATTGATAATCTTGAGTCTGGAAAAAGAAATTATTGTTTTGGAAAAAAAGTCTGGAAAAGTCTTAAATTTATTTCCTGGTATCTGTGCAAAGGATGAACGGTAGTTAAAAAAAAGGATCAGCTAGGGATTTTTGGAAGTAAAGCAGGGATGGTAAAACGGACCGAAAAGAATTGTTACCATTCCTGCCCCATTGGTTCGTTGGAGAACTTCGATGCGAACGCAGGCGTCTAGAGATTTAGAATCACGTTTACAGTTAACGCCATTTTGAAACATGTTGCTAAGCTTTCTCTTGATTTGTGATTTAATGTTTATCTTTACTACCCCAAAATAAAGACATTCATACCAGGTTTATCCGTAAGGATAATTTAATTTTCTCAGTTTTTATCTCCTGATTTCCTAACTTGAGTAATTTTAATACTTGAACCTGATGTTCCGACTTTGTCGTCAACGTAATTCTACGATTCCAAATCGACGGGAGTGATCGTGGCAGTAACTTTTATGAGACCAAATTTATGGATTCTAGTCGTTTAAAGGAAAATCGAGAGATTTGGAGTAGCGTTTACGGCAAACGGCAAACATTAGACCCAAGGTGAAATTTTCGATTTCTTGAATTAGGAAATGAACAGGTATAAACTTTGCAAAATAATTGTTATGGATTAGACTGATCGACATGAAACTACTAACTTTTTTGTGCAGATAAAACAACTGAATCGGCTTCTGACGAAAACTGCGCAAGGGTGACGCAGTGGTGAGGGCTCTTGCCTCCCTTCCCCCGCCTTTGTGGGGAGGCTCCGACCGAAAGGGGTACCTTTTTCTTGCTTCAGGTATATGAAAGGATAGGTTTGTTGTTGGTTCTCTTCTTTGCCGATAGGTTTTTCTCTGGGTGCTCCGGTTTTCCCCTCTCTCCAAATGCCAACCTTTCCAAATTCCAATTCGATCCGCAACGCACGGACTCGTTTAAGCGGGAAAAAAAATTACAGATTACAATTTCAGTTATTTATTTTTTAAGACTGATACGTTGGTCACGTAAAAATTGACGTTGCCGTTTGACCTGAATGGATTCTAAATCTCTCCGATATTGTAGGAAATATTTTTTGTTAAAGAGCAAATAGATAATTAAGGATAAACACAAATTTGCTATGTCAATACGCTTTATTTTAAGAAACTTGGTGAGATTATTTACAGATTACAATCAAACCTCCATGTGCGACCTCCTCGGATACGCGACATGCTGTTCGAACCACTAAAATTAATTTTCCTACTCAAACCACTTTTCTACCGAAAACTGGACCACCAAATCTTTGCATTTTAGGTGGATACTTAAAGCAAATACTACTGTTCTATACTAACATACTAACCTATGCTCAGGCATGAACATTATACAATGAAATAACCTTAAGTTTACAACTGGGCTAGTTTTGGAGTTAGGACAAGTTGGTTTCGCTAGGCTTTTAGTTGACTTAATTGATTCGTCAAGCCTTATTTCATAATGCAAGGTTGCCAAACGACTGCTTCTATGTTCACAAAAAGATTGGCTCTAAAATATATACAATTCTACTAAACTATAAACCTTGCAATGTTGTTTGCATTGTAATCAAACTTCAATTTGCGATAAAAAAAAAAGCTCGTTTACCTAAAAAGTATTTTTTATTTGTAGCCTTAGGGACTAATTAAGGAAGTAGGTTTTTTTTGCAAATTACCTAAAAAGACAGGGAAATTAGCTAATCCTAACGTTATTCGTGTCACAATTACAGTTTTATCATTGTCCGAGCTACCGATGTACACTTCTACATGTACAAAGCTGGTGATTTGAGCTTTTCAAGACATTTTAGAGATTAGAGTACTCAAGGTACCTACACACACACACAAAATAAGATTAGTGGGAAAAATAATTAAGCCGGCAAAGATAAACCGCTGGGCCAAGCAAGTCAGTTCTCTTTCACAGTAATTCTTTTAATCAATTTTCGTATGCTGCAGAGATTGATCCTTTACATTATCCGCCAGGGACTAGCTCATTGGAATTCTGCGGAAGGGCTGTTTCGTTATTCCACGGTGTGTCGTTAGTGTAATACCTGCAACAGTAATGTATAAGAAACATAAAAATTAATAAAACACATCTACTCAACACAAAAGACTCCAGCTGGGCTAAATGGCATTTAGGTTCATTTTACATGGCGGAGGGATCCTCCGGCTTTATCGTGGCGGAAGAGGTTTACTTATTTGAGTTTATCTCACCGCTAAAACTTTCCAATCAATTGGCATCACAAATGAAATGTTGGGTGCACAGCTAAAATAGGTTTGAAACTTCTTGCCTTGATGACCTATGGAATCTCGGTCTTCCCTCTTTGGTCCAAGTTTAGAACCAGTGTACTTCTGTAATTCAGTCAGTGTCAGCGAAAAGCCCTCTAGTTACGGTCAAGACTCCATACACAGTCCATAATTTGTACTTTGCAGTGTTTTCGATCAATTCTGAGATCTAGATCTCCGCCATAATATTTTTGATCCGATTATCTTTATATCAAACAAAAACCTTCCCTGGGCTGTTTGGTTCGGATTCATTTCTGGAATTCTCTTCCTATTATATTCAGAAAGAAAAAAGTTTGTCAGCAAACCCTCACGATCATATTGAACCGTAGCAAATAAAAGAATATTGAATTATTTGTGCCTCATATATCAGAAAAGAGAGAAAATAATTAAATCATTCTGTGTTGTTGTAGGGATTCGGGGCTTAGTGTTTTTTTTTTTTCAAATGCAAAGCCCCGCATATGTACGGGTTGACTGATAAGTACAGAGGTGTGGTCGAATGTTAAAAAACGGTTAATTGATATTTTACCTCAGTCATAGTAAAAGCTAACTTCAGATGTAGTCAATAATGTGGCTTTGAAGGGTAAATACTGCTTTCTATTTGGTAATTAAAAGTACCAAATGCACCCAAGTTGATAAAACTGTAATACAAAAAGACCTGACAGACTTCCTATGGCTCTAATTGTCAGAAAACAATTACCTTCACTTTTCTTCACCAAAGTGAAATGACACGTCATCCCCAATCAGCATGAAAGGTGCCCACTGCCTCACTTCTGAGAAACCGTTATTTCGCATCCACTTCATGGCCCGGTGAAGACTTTCGCTTGCACTTTTCCCTTGGACAAGGTTTTCGTAGAATCTTCCCATGAACTCCTCTGTTGCTCTGTCTTGTAAGGCCCACAATGCCACCAACACTGAGCGTGCACCCGATCCTAAGAATGCTCGAGCGATTCCAACAACGCCTTCTGTTTTGATCTGTCCACGTGCGGTATGGCAACAACTAAGGACCACGAGTTTGGCTGACAGTCTAACTTGTGAAATGTCGGTCATTGACAGTAAGTAGTCTGCTTCGTGTGGAAACTCCACTGTGGAGTCAGCGGAGGTAAGAGCAATTTCTCCTCTTTCGGAATCACCATGAGCAGCGAAATGTACGAGGCTCACTGAGGGTATTCTCTGAAGAACCGCCTGCTTTGTTGCTTGCTCTCCTATTAAAAGGTGAGATTCAGGTAGTAGTCTCGCAATCATCTCTGCTTCCCCTTTCGCGCCAGGCAATGGACAGAGATACCTTAACACTCCCTTGAAATACACATCCGTCACTCTTGGCTCACCCACAATCAAAGCACCAGTTTCGCTGTGAGAGTCGGCTGGACTGTCCAGAATGAGCTTGAGAGTCGTCAAAGAAGGGACAATTCGTATCCTGAAAGAATCTGATAAATAGCGGCTACTTGCATCGTGTAATGCTGCAAACGGAACTTGGAAGAAGCAGCGATCAGGAACAACAATGATTTCACTGGATCCTTCTAGCAAGTCACTCACGGGAGCAATCAACATGTTGTAAACCTGAAAAAGTGTTGGCGGTTCAGGGTCCGTGTATACTTCTTCCTCATCTAAAAGAGGACGCAAGGTTGAGAGACTATCTTCCAGATTTGATTCGTTTGTAAGTTGGTTGGCGAATGAAGAGAAGAGTGATCGGTCTTCGCATTGCTCTTGAGGTAAAACGTGAAATTTTCTTAATAAGTTTTCGTTTCCAAACAGGTCATACACAGAGATTTTGCCATGCTTGCTAACATAGCTTTCACAAAGTTTCGTTCTTCGGAAAGCTACCGGTTTGTTTTGTTTCAAAACCCACAAAAATATATTGTCATCGTAGTCATAGGAGATGTAGAGGCAGGTGCTGTTGCCATTTTTCTTAATTACTTCCGCGATGCCAACAAACGATTGTGGGTTGATGGATATTTCTTTTTCAATGGAGTAGCGATTTGACATAAGTTCTGCTAGAGCTCTGGCCCGTCCAAGTTCAGCAGCGTGTAAAGCTTCATAGGGTTTCCCACAAGAACAACTCAATGAACAAAACAGCCGATAGGGAGACGCGTTCTTGTCAAAAAATAATATATATTGTGGCTATCTTTGCTTCCTAGAGAAGTAAGCATTTTTTCGTAAATTTGAATGCTTGACCAGAGATCCGATAAGGCTTGAGATGTGTTTCCTAGCTTTAGGTAGCGAGACGCTTCTCCGTCTTTGTCGCCAATTTCTGTGTTGGTGGTAAGTGCTGTATGAAGATTTTCTTCAGCCTTGCCATATTCTCGTACATGTACAAACAGAGCTCCGAGGTTTTCGTAGCATGTCGCTTCTCCGTTTCTGTCGCCAATTTCTGTCGTGATGGTAAGTGCTTTATGAAGATATTCTTCAGCCTTGGCATATTCTCCGACAGATTCAAACACTTTTCCTAGGTTTCCGTAGCATGCCGCTTCTCCGTTTCTGTTGCCAATTTCTGTGTTGATGGTAAGTGCTTTATGAAGATATTCTTCAGCCTTGGCATATTCTCCGACAGATTCAAACACATTTCCTAGGTTTCCGTAGCATGACGCTTCTCCCACTCTGTCGCCAATTTCTGTGTTGATGGTAAGTGCTTTATGAAGATATTCTTCAGCCTTGGCATATTCTCCGACAGATTCAAACACATTTCCTAGGTTTCCGTAGCATGTCGCTTCTCCCTTTCTGTCGCCAATTTCTGTGTTGATGGTAAGTGCTTTATGAAGATATTCTTCAGCCTTGGCATATTCTCCGACAGATTGAAAAACAACTCCTAGGTTTCCGTAGCATGTCGCTTCTCCCTTTCTGTCGCCAATTTCTGTGTTGATGGTAAGTGCTTTATGAAGATATTCTTCAGCCTTGGCATATTCTCCGATAGATTGAAACACAGCTCCTAGGTTTCCGTAGCATGTCGCTTCTCCCTTTCTGTCGCCAATTTCTGTGTTGATGGTAAGTGCTTTATGAAGATATTCTTCAGCCTTGGCATATTCTCCGACAGATTGAAACACAGCTCCTAGGTTTCCGTAGCATGTCGCTCCTCCCTTTCTGTCACCAATTTCTGTGTTGATGGTAAGTGCTTTATGAAGATATTCTTCAGCCTTGGCATACTCTCCGACAGATTGAAACACAGCTCCTAGGTTTCCGTAGGATGTCGCTTCTCCGTTTCTGTCGCCAATTTCTGTGTTGATGGTAAGTGCTTTATGAAGATATTCTTCAGCCTTGGCATATTCTCCGACAGATTGAAAAACAACTCCTAGGTTTCCGTAGCATGTCGCTTCTCTGTGTTTGTCGCCAATTTCTGTGTTGATGGTAAGTGCTTTATGAAGATATTCTTCAGCCTTGGCATATTCTCCGACAGATTGAAACACATTTCCTAGGTTTCCGTAGCATGTCGGTTCTCCGTTTCTGTCGCCAATTTCTGTCTTGATGGTAAGTGCTTTATGAAGATATTCTTCAGCCTTGGCATATTCTCCGACAGATTGAAACACATTTCCTAGGTTTACGTAGCATGTCGCTTCTCCGTTTCTGTCGCCAATTTCTGTGTTGATGGTAAGTGCTTTATGAAGATATTCTTCAGCCTTGGCATATTCTCCGACAGATTGAAACACATTTCCTAGGTTTCCGTAGCATGTCGCTTCTCCGTTTCTGTCGCCAATTTCTGTCTTGATGGTAAGTGCTTTATGAAGATATTCTTCAGCCTTGCCATATTCTCCGACAGATTCAAACACATTTCCTAGGTTTCCGTAGCATGTCGCTTCTCCCTTTCTGTCGCCAATTTTTGTGTTGATGGTAAGTGCTTTATGATGATATTCTTCAGCCTTGCCATATTCTCCTACATTTGGAAACACGGTTGCTAGGTTTCCGTAGTATGTCGCTTCTCCGTTTCTGTCGCCAATTTCTGTGTTGATGGTAAGTGCTTTATGAAGATATTCTTCAGCCTTGGCATATTCTCCGACAGATTGAAACACAGCTCCTAGGTTTCCGTAGCATGACGCTTCTCCCACTCTGTTGCCAATTTCTGTGTTGATGGTAAGTGCTTTATGAAGATATTCTTCAGCCTTGGCATATTCTCCGACAGATTGAAACACAGCTCCTAGGTTTCCGTAGCATGACGCTTCTCCTACTCTGTTGCCAATTTCTGTGTTGATGGTATGTGCTTTATGAAGATATTCTTCAGCTTTGGCATATTCTCCGACAGATAGAAACACAGCTCCTAGGTTTACGTAGCATGTCGCTTCTCCGTCTTTGTCTTCGATTTCTTTGTAAACGCAGAGTGCAATTTTGAGGACTGCTTGTGCTTCCTGGTATTCACTTTTTTGGAAGTACAGTTTTGATAACATCAAGGCTGTCTTACCTTCTTTTTTTTTCTCCTAAGATTACGAAGTAGGACTAAAAGCTTTTTGCCAGATTCTATAGCGGGTGAAAGTTTCGTAATAGCAGCATTTCCATAAAACAGCCTCTTGTTCAGCGCTATACGCACTATTGTGGCAAGTTCATGTTCATTTTCTAAGATTTTGTTGTTTAGTAGTGTTAAGCACTCGTTCCACAGCTCGATAGCCTGGACAACTCGTTTAGTGGTCCAAAGAAAATCAGCGGCAATCATGCCATGGTGAATAGCTTCTTGAACAGTGCCCATTTGGGTCTTTTCTGAAACATAAACAGGTAAAAAAACAAGACCAGAATAATTAGCAAATAGTTCTACGGAAATAGAGTTAATCTTAAATAAAAAAAATAAGGAAGCCAGTTAGAAAAGTTAATAATAATAAGCTTTTGGCTTAAGAAATAGCTACGAATACAATAAGGTTTTCTTCAAAATGTAAAGCTTTTTCTTATACGTAACGACTCTGTGGTCTGGTCAGGTGTCATTTAAAATTGTAAATTAAGCTGATGCTATCGTAGCTGTGATTCCACGAAACATTCTGTTTCGGTTAAATGGACTTACCCAGGAATACACAGTTACGATAGATTTCGGTTACCCGGATCGGCAAAAGAAAGTTAGTGACATTTAAAAGCAGTTAAGTTGTTGAAGTAAATGATCGGGAGTTTTGTTTGTTTATTTCTAAGTCTATTGAACCTGTATTTGCAGTCTTGTGTATTTCCAAGAAATCTTTTAGCTTCTAGGTTTCTTTGTATTTTTAAAAAACGTGGTTTCTCTTGTAGAATTTTAAGTTACGATCAACTTTTCTGGAAGAATAAAAAAACGTCTAAAAGGTTGAACGGCATGTGACAGTACATTAGAATTCCCCAAATTGATAAGCTTGCCTCATTTCTTGAAAATTCGATAGAATTAAGCGCCAAGCCTATTGTTAGTAATTTAATTAATAAGTAAAGTTGGGGATCTCCGCCTAAAAGCTCAGCTGAGCTTACTGAGATCTCCTGTTCATGTATACCTACGAATACCAAATGTGCAATATTAATTTTTAAAATGACGGGCGAATAAAATAAAAAAGAATTAATATTTCATACACACATACATACTTTTTTTTGAATACATATCCATCTGGGGTTCTTCAGTGATCAATAAGGATTACATATAATGTAATAATTATTAAAGACTATAAAGAAAACCTATCAGTAGAACGCAAATAACTATATAATGGAATAAATTACAATTAGGCCTAAACAAGAGGGAACTGTCTATAGATAACCTGGTTTAAAAAGAGGAGGTTATAAACTCGACAGTAGGAAGTAAAGCTAAAAAAAACGACAACAAAATTTAAATTCTTTTGAACGCAGGAGGAGCTAAGGACTTCCGGAATCACTTGCCTTATTGTTATATCTTACATGGAAGTTACATTTCATCGTCGCTTGAGGATCCTCGGACAGAGTTTGAGATTGGGAGTTAAAACTGTAAATTGCGTCACGAGGCGCCAGCGTCTGACTAGTCTAGTGTTAAGATTTAGTAAAATCTGATTCAGTTCCTAGTACAGATCCTAAACTTAGGTTGCCTGAAAGATTCAAGTAAAGTAACTGTTACGCACAGAGACGAAATTGTTCGTGTGTAAATTTTACAAAATCGCTTATTTAAGGGGAAATGTAATGTAAACAACAGACCCCGGTTTTGCTATCTATCGGATAAATCACTATCCAGCGGAGGAAAACAATCGCATTATCCCTGTGGATAGAGATTTATGCAGCTGATAGCGCTATCCACCTTTTGAACAACCGAAGGAGCGTAAATCAAATGTTCCTTTATTTCATCGTCAGTAACGATCGTTATTATCTGGGATAACTCATTCGGAAGGCCGTCTCAGCACAAAATCAGTTGTAAGTCAAGTTGTTAAAAAATTTTTCCCCTTGAACCACCCGTTTAAATAGTTCGAAGCAAAAACGGCTGAGCCTTCATTGAAGGCCATCGGGATGTGAAGAGCGCGTCGATCGACAACGGATTGCAAGTTACATTGTTCAAGTGATATGATTACGTAAGCTTAAATGGCTCTGCTTTGCTCGAAAAAGGAAAAAATAGTAATTTCAGCTAGAAAGTCGCTCCCAAAAAGATGGTTTAACTGAAGGTAATGCTTGTGGCCATTGCGGCGAAGCCTTGGCCAAACTGACCGAATTGATTGCCGGCCTGGACAAGCTATTAGACCTAATAGTATTGATCGTTTGGCAGGGAAATCACACGACGACTAAGGATAAAATCTCTCTGCGAGCACTTGGAGGCTCTTCAGAACGACTCGAGCAAAGAGCTTTATAGCGATACTGAGGAGTGAGATACCTTGATAATTGTTGCAGGCTCTTCTGGCTCCCTTGTTTTTGTATAGAGTGACTATGTTTGCGTCTCTCATCATTGTGACACCTTCCCTCCCTCTAACACAGGCAGAGTATTACCATCCTACCCGCGCACTTTTCTAGGTGCGGGTACCCCAGGGCCTCTTTCAGCTCCACTTTAGTAGGTTCACCCTCCAGGTCCTCCAGAACAGGCAAGCAATCTATGGCATTCAGTGCTTCCAAGGATACCATATTCTCTCTGGCAGACAGCTCGGAGTAATCATGTTCTACCCAACGCTCCATCTGTTGCGTTCGGTCCTGGATTATCTCGTCTGTAGCAAAATTTAAGGGGGCTGTTTTTTTCTGAGAAGGACCAAGTGCCTGCTTGATTTCATCGTACATATGGCCTTGATATTAGATGTCTCAACAGCAGAATGAATACCAGCACAGAGTTCAGGATAGTATTCATTTGCACAGTATCGTTGCACATAACTACGTGCTGCCTGTAGAGCCTGTAGATTTGGTTCACTTGGGCAGGTATTTTCTGCAGTTAACACTTTTCTCTTTTCTTCTATTGCTGGATTGTCTCTATATGCGCCTCGAACAGTCTGCAGATTTGTTTGTCTTCTTGCCGAAGTTGGGCATGGCTGATCAATTGATTGCATCCCATTCCCTGAAGTAATCCAATCTTTCTTGGACTTTTCCCGTAGAGAGGCTGGGGGAGAGATTTCTCAAGCGTAGTTATAAACTCCTCCACTTTCTGTCCATCGAGTCTTGCTGACGTCAAGGCATGGTTTTCACACAGTCTTTGCTTGTAGTTTCACTTTGCTCTACACCAGGTAATGGTCAGTATCACCTTCTGCGCTGTGAAGGCTACGTGTAAGCTTGACGAACGATAGGATAGCTCGTCTTGTGAGGATGTATTCGAGATGATGCCAATGTTTTGGAGGGTTGACGAATGGTCTTTGCGAGCACTGCGATTTTTTTGCGAACACCGGCAGAGATAAAAAATTTGCTTTGCGAGCAGCGAGCAGTTTAGAGAGTACAACTCGCGAGCAGCGAGGACTTCTTACATTTTCCGCTTGCAGCAATCCATGTGGAAATCCTTTTCGTTAAAATAAAACACCATCACCATCTGGTGAATCTCTACTCTTATGTGATAATGGTCAACTACACACACATACCATTGTTGAAGTTTTTTGAAAAAAATAGCTCAAAAGACATATGTCAGTGGTCTGAGCGAATGTATCTTTGTGGCTTTGTGGCTTTGTGTTTTCGGATGTGTGTTGCAGGGACCAATAAGGTTGAAGATACAATCAGTTGATGCTAGGAACCAATGAGATTTTGGCATTTAAACATGACATTGCTTAAGGTCAAACAAGAGCACTTTGAGATCGCGCCATCTTGATTCTTCACAATTTTTCGTCTTTCATTACGGCTAAAGGTGTTTAGAAGCACAACATTTAAATATCGTCATGACTAAAACCCTCAGTACCGCAGTGATGCAGCTGTTTAAGGGTTCCAGTATTTTCGTGTGGGTGCTGCTTCAAGACATTTCTGACCTAATTGGGCTATCGCTAACGATACAACGCACGTATTTTATAAATAATGAGTTCTGTTTCACCTGCTTCAAGGCAGAGTATAAAAGATCATATATTTTTTAAAAGTTCTTCAAATGAAACAATAGCTGATATTTAGATATGGACTTTAATTCGAAAGTACATGTGTGCGGCCTATAAATTGTGGTTTTAGAAGTTTGAAAGGCAGCTTATATATGCGTAACTTAAGCAGCAACAATAGCGTTAGGGAATAAAAACTGGAAGAAGCTAGTTCACAAAATAACTAGATATAGTATTATTGAGTGGAATAACATGATATGAGTAGAAATATATTTCGGCAGTTTGATAATTTTCTGGGAAGTAAATAAATGTTAGGCTATCAACTTTAACGTTGAACGAAGCATAATTTAATTGTAGATGTTGTAAAGCCGAGATGTTTTCTTAAAATCGTTTGAGCAATTTTTCTAGTAAAGAATTCGAATTGTAAAAGGGACATCTTCACGTGCAAATTGTGTGCATGAGTTATTTTAATTTATAATCTTGCTTACGGATTACTGTGTGATAACTCGAATTCTCTCGGCTTGCGAACCACGAAAGGGGCAAAGTACAACACTTTCAAGAGCAAACTGTAATAATAGTACCTTGAACAAATGAAGACCTCCTTAGCTTTGTAACTAGTGCCTTAAGTTAAAGCAGAATCGCACGTGACAACCTCGTGAATAATCATGATGCAACCAACTACAACAATGACGAAAATGGTGACATTTCTTAGCTATTCGGTATTCAATGTTCTTATCTTATGACACCATGAAGAAACCTTGAAACGTTTGAGTCTTCTCTCTAAACAACGTTTGGTGAGTTGATAATCATAGAACGTTAACAATTTGTTTATTTTGCACCAGATGTCCGAATGAAAGACTAAGAAAAGTGAATCTGTAGTATGAGGATCGACTCAGCTGTGTGCAGCGTTTCGCGTTTTCATTAATGTAAACAAAACCAAATTTCGCACAAAAAATAGTCTACATTAAGGATTAAAACAGTAGATGGTTGATACGATTACACTAAAGCATTCAAAATAGCTCGTGCACGTTAAACGTGCCTATGTCAGAAAATAAAGGCTAACGTCTCCTCTCTGCGATATTATCAGTAGTATAGTAGCAGGGTCGTAACATGGTATATCCGACACCCATTGATCCCTATTTTCTTGCCGTTATTTTGATCCCTGAGCCCGATTTTCCCCAAAATTTTGATCCCTGACCCCTGATAAAAAAATTGATCCCACCCATGTTTTTGCACAAAACTTAGACAACTTTGTTTATCTCCAAAGATAGAATATAGAACATGCTCAAATAAGCTGATGAGAAAAACATTAATTTAATTTTCAGTGCAAGTTGTAGGTTCTATCAGAGCTTTAAAGATCAATATGAGTCAACCTCTTTTTGTGCATTATTCTATTTAAAACACTTTAAATATAATGTTTGGCGATACTAGACAAATGATAAAACCTGATTTTCTTGAAAGGGAGCTTTAGTAAGATACACAATGTTAGTTATTGTTAATTTATACAGCAAAAGTAGTCCACTTCCCTTTAAGTATCGTACATCGTGAAAGATCTAGCGGCGGAAACTTGATTTTTTCAGATGTAACGTTCATCAGTAATATTTACAAGGTTTATTTTCAGTGTTGCTCATACAAGCAAGGCCACCCGGAGGTTTATAAGCCAATCACAAGAAAGCATTGAATTTTTAGTCAAACAGCAAACACAGCTAGCGCTGGTTGGTGTCCGGTTCAATTAACGTCACTGTAAGGTACTTCTGAACTAAGGTCTTCCTCTAGCTTTCCAATTCCTGTCCCGTACGAACATCTGCTTGCCCAGATAACTTGTCCAGTTAATCAAGGTCCGATCTGTGTGGGTCACAGATGTTTTATTTCCAAAGAGACTCTTGCAACAAAAAATTTCACGTTGGCCGCGTTACTGGTCCACAATATTGATGTTAATAAAGTGTAATCGTTTGTCTCACGATTCAGTCACTTAATAATGTAGATCGCGACGTTTCCACTGCGTACTTCAAGTGTTCATTAGGAAAAGCAACACTTAATGACCTTGCCTTGCTAGTCTTCGTGTACTGGTCACACGTGAACTTATATGACTCTGGTTGGTCGATTATTAGCCGCTGAGATTGGTGCATTTCTTACTCCGTTGTTTGTGTGAGTCTGCCTCACTGGTCCGCTGTCGCACGGATCTCCTATAGCTGCGTTTCTTGATTAAGGGCAACCAAGCTTCTGGACTTTCTATTCTGCTATCCCTGTTGATGTTGTTAGAGTGTAGTCTTATGTGAATTTCTTCTTTCACTCTGTGTGTGTTACAGTGAGGATCACGATCAATTACCAATAGAAAAATACCTGCTTTACGTGTAGTAGAAAAATTAAATGATGCAAGTCACAGGTTCTACAGTTTACCAGCTTTTCTGTGTCAAGCCCATTAATGGCTTTTCCTGGCTTAATAACCATTGTAGATTGTTAAAGGACATAGCTGGTTGTAGGTCTTCCAGACCTACTCCTTCCAACTTCAATTCTAATTGGCTCTGAAAAGTTGTCCACCTGAGGTTGCTCCCCTTCCTCTTCGTCACCACCTGACGCAGGTGAATCATCTGATTCAACTGACCCCTGGAGCAATGCAACTAGGCGTTGCTCTTCAAGGCAGGTCAAACAGAAGTTGTTTCCATCTTTTATTATTTGAACTTTCCCGATGACAAACTTAGGTGAATTTCTACGTCACGGTGCCCTGTCTGGAATACAAGGGGATCTTCTTTTGGCTGTTTTAGCCATCTCAAACCCATGTGATCTTCCAGGAATACGTCACCCAGCGTTATGGTGGAGATCTTTTAAAAGGACTGCAAGGAAGAAAGGAATGATAAACCTCTTGTAATTGTGCTTGAGAGCAACTACGTAGCCTTTTGAATAAATAATCTCATATTCTTCGGCTGCGTCTTGAACTGTAGTTTGTCCTTCACTCCCTTGAACCTCTTTCAGCAGATCGACTTCTCCATGTGCCGACGCATTTCTTCTGAACATACTCAGAGCAAGTGGAAGTGTACCAGTTCTTTCTTTGGTCTTCCCTCTCGTTCGTTGCTGTCGTACACCCCGTCCAAAATCTTTCGCAAAGCTCTGTAATGCCGTTCTTTGTCGCTCCTTTCCCTCCGCCCTCGTTTCCTCGTCCATATCTTCCTTAAGGTGTAATCTTGCCGTGCGATTTTCGAGCCATTCCGGTGCCTTTGGACCCAGCTTTCTCTGTGTGTAATGGCTTTGAGGACCGGTATAAAAGATAAACGAGGATTGGTAGAGCCTCTCTATTGATTCTAAAAGGCAGCTGGGCCGCTGCGATGTGTATTCGTTCAGAGCGGGTGTTCTCACTCTACTAAAAAAATTCAGGCTCCAAATCTAAGGTAGTGATACCTTTCGGGGCCAACCATTACATAAGCCGAAGCTGAATAGCCCAAAGGGCCGAAAAAATTCTTGTAGATCAATATTGTCACTAAAGTCTGTACATTTTGTGCAAAACAAAATAGCCCCTGCACGAATGAGGTCTGAAAAAATCTTGCATGAAAAAAATAACCCATCCCCGGCTCAAAAATCAAATAGTGGCCCCCTTACTGGTGGCCCTTCATGCTGAGTACTATAATACATTAAATTCCTGCAGACTCCGCTACTTGTACCTAGTATGCAACGTTCCTTTCACCCATTCTACCGTTTATTTAAAAAAAAACTAAATAAAATAAACTATAAAGGTTTTGTTACTTTTAATTTCACCGAGGTAAGTCTTTGGTATTCCACTTATTTTCACTAATTCTACAATGTTATTTCAGACTATTTATCACACAAGCATTTATCAGTTATAAAGTAATGGAATGTGTCCTTTACTTTCCCGGCCCGATAATAGTACTGGTAGGTGAACCGATCTCGGTTTCTCGTCAGAGTTCGAGATAACTCTAAAGCTCCGTGCAATTAGAGCAGATTTGTTAAATTGCGAGAAAGCATTTATTTTGCAACAAAGCGCGCGAATTCATTGTACTTTTGTATTCTACTCTTGACGTCCATTCTAATTATCTAAGTACTTTTAAGGGTTAAGTTACTGATCCAAAAATACCAACCTCGATTTAAAGTCGCCTTGGGACTTGCTTGAGGCCCGGGGCTTGAGGCCATTAGGCAATCGGAACCTAGGAGGAGAACCAGGAGTAAATCAGTCAAGGAAGTACTTAGGTACCTTTCTCTGTCACAGGATTTCCTTTTGTCCTTTTTCTTTTTCCCCATTTCTCGCAAAAAAAAGATATGTATAGATCGCTTTCTCTGCATTCTGGCGTTGACAGCGCACTGAGGAGTTGCGTTACAAAGCGAGAAAAGTGACTTGAGATTCATATTACGGTGCCCTCAAACAATTAATAAATTAAGAATATGATACCGTGTTTTCGTCAAATAACCAGGACTTCGTATGACAGGAACAGCCACCAGCCGGAAGCAAGAATAGGTAATTTACCTCGGACAGGAAATTCTATGGACACAGATCTTATTATGCGGAAAAATATTGTGATAAGAGATTTTTAGACCGTGTAATAAATCTGATCCCTGATTCAGGCTCAAAAGCTTTCTGATCCCTGATCCCGTTATTCTGAGCCCTGAGCCCTTTCCTCTGAGCCCTGATCCCAGTCATATTTTGGGCTTTGAGCCCTGAGCCCATATACCATGTTACGACCCTGCTATATAATAAAAAGAACATTACACGGCGGCTTGAACATATGAATTTTATTTTCTCGTTGTCAAAACAATATTTTACTCACTCGCTGTACTCGTTCGTAAAATATTGTTTTGCCACTCGAAAATAAAATTCATATCTTCGCGCCACCGTGTAATATCCTCTATGTATGCACCTCGTAAAGTTTGTCGTAAAATATTTTGTAGATTCAAAGGACACTCTTAAATTAAACGTCATAGTCTAGAAGATTTTGTTAAAAGAACACAAATGCAAAAAAAACAAAAAAACAAAACAAAACAAAACAAAAATTAAATAAATAAGAATAATAAAATTTTTTCTTCAATGGCTGTACAGCTTTGAGTACATGTTGTCCTATCCAGAAAAAAGGGCTATAATATTTTATATTATAGTGTGTTGCAAAGGAGGTCATCAGAGTTTTCTTGCAGCTGGTAAAAGAAAATTTTATTTTTTTTTATATCAATACCCGTAATGTATCTAGGATTGATAATGTGAGCTCAGAAAAGATATTAATACAATTTATTAATTTATTTACAGATTGAGGCACTTGATTACAAATCTTGCACTTTGCTGAGTCATGACTGGGGTGGAGCTTTGGCATGGTAAGGTGGCCACTGCACCATAATATAATCTCAAAGACACTTGTCCATTAGACAGAAGTTATCAAGCCAGTTCCTCTAACTCATGCTTGTGGATGCATCTTTCTGAGTGACAGTAATTAATGACCGTTCTTGAGAAGTGTTGATATAGCCTGTCAATTCTGAACAAACGGAAGGTATACCCGGAGCTGGTATACCAGAACAAGTCTTGTAAACAAATGATTACAGGCTCTGCCGCCCTTCCCCACCCCAGTTTCCTTCTGCGTTATTTTCGTATTCGCGCTTTCTCAATTTTGCTGACCTGACTATCTCGGAGCCTGAAACAGGCTAGCCTCCCACGCAGATATTCTTAGGGGTTCATTACGTGTTCCTGCCCCACTAAACTGTGATAAACCCCTAAGGACGTTTACGTGGGAGGCTAGGAATAGCTATTGCAGTGAAGGCATGGTATTCAGGCAAGCAAGAACTTAGTATGTCCAGCAGTCATATTATCCTTGATTTTAAAAGCATAAGAGAGTTGGGGATGGTACAGAGTTCAATCAATAGGGGAGTCATAAGGCAAAAGATTGGACTGCGGGGGGAGGGGAAGTGATTAAACAAATCTTCCATTCAGGGCTTATTTGTGAGGGATAGTGGGGTATCTGCAATTTTAGTTGGTGGGCAATATGAACTGCCTTTGGTTCTATTTTTTCTTTTGTTCATTACCGTGAAAGAATGAAAGAACTAGGATGGTTATATGCTCGTGAAAGCTGAGGGAAATACCCATTTAGCCGCCAGCCGTTTGTGACAGCCCAAACTGCTTGAGAATTCAAGGCTTAAGTGTATATTCATTGTGCAAAGAAAGTAGTGTCCGATAGCCCGGGGCTAGTGGATTTTGCTATCAGGTGAGTGTATTCTGTTTTTAGCTTGCGTGACGGGCAAGTGATGTTTTTTGAGGAATTCAAATAACAGAAGAACTGTGAAATCAATTCTGCTAGTCAAAAAGTTTTTGGGGCTAGTTGAAATGATGTCTGGGTTAGTAAATGCTAGCTTCAGCTTGCCCGAATGGCAAGCTGTAAAAATGATTTTCTTTGCACCCTGATATTTGTTGTTTTAAAATTGGTGCGGACTGTGAGCAGTCCCTGAGGAGTCGGAGAAAGTGGGTGGAGAAGGGAGAAGTTAACCTTTTCTTCTTGCATCTCTTCAGCTTCCTTCTCGGTTTACTTGTTCTTCAAAGTCCAGCAAAGCCCTAGTCTTTTTTGCACACCTCAGGCTGGGGTCATGCAGTGCTTCCTACCCCAATCCAAGGGGGGGAAGCATTGTGTGATTTCCAGACCAAGCAGCTGTGAAGAAGACTAACATAGCCATGTAAAAGATGCTTTTTCCTCTTTTGAGAACCTGTGTCATTTTAAAGAAGAAACCCTCGTAACCCAGATTGTTGGGGTCAGGGTTGTTTAGTCAGTCTCCTCTTCTATTGTGCTGACCAATTCAACTGACTTAAACCAAAGGAGTGTCTTATTAATTTGATAAATCTGTCTGTGTGTGTTTTAACCTCAGGTCTTTTGCACACATGCATCCAGAGTTTGTAGACAAATTGATATTTTGCAACATTCCACACCCGAGGTTAGTTCTAGCACCCCCCACCTCCCTTATTTGTTATGTACAGTCATTTTTACAGTCACCCACCTAATTCGGACACCTCAGTATTACAGATAGTTTGCTTTGTCCCTGGGAAAGAAATCCCTGACATTTTCTTCAAATTCACCCCCATAAAATGGATACCCCGTTATTAAATATGGACACTTTCTATGACCTCTCAGTGTCCATATTATCGGGATTTGAATGTATAGACATTATAAACTATACTGCTATATACTGGGTTTCCTGCATCACTAATTCTCAGAAAGTAAAAAAAATTATGTACTTAGTTTCCACCAAGTAAAACCCTAAAACTGTACCTAACTCCATAAACACTGCTTCCGTCACACTTGACTATGCAAGACCAACGTTAAACTGTCTTCGCTTGTGAAAGCTAGTTAATACCTCGTCTGGACTCATCTACTTATAAACTTACACAATAAAATTCTGGAACCTTTTTCAAATAGTCTAATTATAAATGATTGCAAAATATATGCTGTAGAAAGACTTACACAAGATCCTAAAATAAAAAAAAACTATGAACTCATGCGAAGCTTCTAGAATGTCAGCTGGTCACCGAAAAAAAATTTTGGTAACACCCATATGCCCTAACCAACACGGCTCGCGCATGCTCCATTCTTGATCTGATTCTCTAAAACAGCTCAGTTTTCTTTTTTGTTAGTTCAATAACCACACGACAGTTCAATAACAATACCAGTAGTTCAATGACCACACATTAGTTCATTGAGCGTAAACTACATGTAGCTGCGGGAAAAATAGCCACAAACACGTTAGATAGTTTTTGTAATTAGAATGTGTAGCATTAAGTAAAAACAGAGAGGGATGTGGGTATCATGGTTGTAAGACACCGTCATACTTCATTATTATCTTCATCACATTCATTCATTTATTTACTTATTTATTTATTTATTTATTTATTTTTTGGCTGCCTGGAATAACCATAGAGGGCTAGTGGAGCCAGGCAGCCAGTTGATAATGGTAATAATACTGAGTGGAGTTCAAGTTGTTCTGTAATCATACGAGTGATAAACAAAATCAGACGACCGCGTAGCGAGAGTCCGACGTGCTTAATCACGAGTAGAGTAAAGACGCGGCGGTCGCATAGTGCGGGAAAATTCCACGACTTGTTTCCCTATGTGGCCGGTTACACAGCCGGAAGTGACGTAGAATTAACGAAACTGACTCATCACCAAGCCACTTAACGAAGGAGTAATCGAGGTGATTACGATTATCCAAAGAGAGGCTATCGTAAGTAAAATGCAACAAAGGGGATTGCTCTGGCCAATCACATGAGAGGCAGTTAATTAAATGAACCAATCAAAATACAGAGTAAAGACTTGGAGGTGGCAAGCGCGGGAAAATGCTACAACTTGTTTCACTTTTAGTTGCTTAACATTTGGCCGGTTACAGCGTTGAGGCGGGAAATTTGCCGTAGGTGCGAAAAAACTTAATTACTAACTGGTCAACAAATTTTGATTATCTTGAGTGTGTTTTGCTCGTATTTGATCTGAACTTTATCTTGTGTTTGTAAAGGTGACAAAAAGAAAAGGAAGAAGTCTGGGAGTGACTCCAGTACCTCGTCAAATAGCCGTTCATCGACCCCTACGATTGCTACAGAGGGCGCTGCTAATACCATTGCTGCCGCTGCTACAAAGCTGGGTCAGGACAGACCAGTGACTCCCTGTAAGTATATCCCAACTATTTTCCGGGTACGTAGATGCAATTGTATGGACTGACCGTATAAATGAAACCTATTTAGCAAAACCTTCGTCAGGTACTAGTTCTTTCACAGTATTTTACAAACTAGCATTTTGAAAGGATGTTGTTCCATTTGTTCCCGATCAGCTTCATGTTCCCCGTGTTGAAACAATTTTTTAAATTGTCTGGGTTTTTGTAGCAAAATCAAAGAAGCGCCCGGCAGATGCAAGTAAAAAAGGTGCCCCAGGCGAAGAGGGAAGTCCAGCAAGCAAAAAACCTCGTGTATCCCCGGCACCTTCCGCTGGAGGGGCAGGAGGAGGTTCAAGAACAAGCACCCCAACACCGACCGGTAGTGAGGAAGGCCCTCAGAGAATCACTGAAGAAGCCGTGAGAAGGTACCTCACAAGAAAGCCCATGACCAGCAAGGACCTTTTGCAAAAGTTCAAGAGCAAACGAACGGGCCTGTCAAATGATGAGACCGTGAAAAAGCTTGCTGCTATTGTTAGAAAGACACAA